ATCTGAGGGAAGCAGAGATTTTGAATCTGCCCAAGAGCCTGGAACCCAGTAAGGAGTTATTTTTGCTTAACTGGTTCCTTGTGGGATTACTTGTGTGCTGTGCTTCTGATGCCTTCCATCTTGGATTGTTGCCTGCCTGCCTGTCTACCTACCTACTGTACTTTCAACCTTTTGGTTTTTTGCTCTTTTTCTCTTGGGTTTTTTGGGAGGTCTCCATTTCTTTGGATTGTTTTTGCTCCATGTGCTCGTTCACTCCTTGGAATTATATTTAAAATCCTCCACATATCTTTGGGGATTCCTGCCAACACGCTTTTTAAAAAAATCCTTTCCTTTCCTGGATCATTTTTGGTGCTTGCTAGACTCAAAGAAATCTGCTGCTTCCTTGCTTTTTGGCTCTTTTGCTCCCTAAGCCAAAAGGTTTCTGTTGTCCAAGGTGGATGGCAGTGAATTGTTATTGATTTTTCTTCTTCATGTACTGTTGGCCACTTTTGGAAGTGTCTCATTCTCTGTTGCCTTGCCTCTGTAGGTTGAAGTGGCAGAAAGCCCAATTGGGGGACACAAGCAGAAACCCCCAAAGAGGCTTTTCCCTTTCATGTAAAACAAAAGAGGTTTTCGATTTCATTTTAATGAAAATGAGTTTTAATGAAAATGAAAGAGTAGCCCCCAAAGACTCCAAAACAAAAGAAATATGAACTATTTTTGCCATGCACACTCATATCTCACACCTCATCCTGCAAATATAATTATGGTATTTAGTGTTATATATAAATGCCATTGTTAAACACTGCTGTTTGTTCTAGTGAAAACTCGATGTATGACCTGAAATGAACATGTCCTTTAAACTGCCTTGGGGTCCCTTGACCAATACATTTTCCAGATTTGTGAAGCCAAGTATTTTATGATATACATGTTGTGGGGAACCTTTCTTGTGTGTGTTGTAGGAAAACGTGCACCTGCAAACACTGTGCTTTGCAGAGAAAGTGTGAATACTCTTAGTATGAGTTTTAAAAGCCACTATCAGCACACACACATCTGCATCCACCAATGCTTCGGTCAAGGGTTAATTTTCTGGGGAAAATGTTGATACAGTATGTAGATCCTGTGTCCGCTTCACTCCTGCTGTTACAATGGAAAACAAGTGGTGTAACCTCTGACTTGATTATGAATAATCAGTTCCCCCCCCCCAAGAGACTTATTTATGAATTGTAAGTACTCTTTGGGGCAAGGGAGGGTGGAAAATTCTGCCTTGCATTTTGTGAAATGTATTGTGATGTCATCTGAAGCAGAGTTGTAAGAATGTCATCTAAATCTGGAATATGAGCCCTTGTCATGGACTTGGCTTGTTTTAAGTAAAAAAGAAAGTGGTGTTTGTATATTTTTAACACATAAATATAATCATCCTGCCAATCAGAAGTTACAGAATTCCTTTTAAATAATATGTTGGAGTTTATAGGCTGTTCATTTTACCATGCCTTTTGTTGGAGCGAGTGTACTATAATTTTAAGATTCTGTGAAATACTGTATTTTACCCTATCATTTGAGTCAATGTTAGGTAATCAGGCAGCTTAAATATATCTTATAGGTTTAAAACATAGTGGAACAAAATGTTTTGGATTTAGAAAGCTGAAACTTTTATTGCCCTCATGTTGTAGTAATATTCTGCTTTGTTATTATTTCATTCAAATAGGTATTTTTAATATAAGAGTGGTTTTTACTGAGATTGTCAAAAGCTGTGGGATGGGGCATGGGGAGAGAGTCAGCAGCACCATAAAAGCATGTACATTTCATGTAAGTTGCAATCTTGTGATCCATTAGAGCAGTGGTGTCGAACTGTGGCCCTCCAGATGTTCTTGGCCTTCAACTCCCAGAAATCCTGGCCAGCAGAGGTGGTGGTGAAGGCTTCTGGGAGTTGAAGTCCAAGAACATCTGGAGGGCCACAGTTCGACACCACTGCATTAGAGTAATGTGCTCCCTGAAATGGCACAACAAATTGAATTCTCTAACTCTCCAGGTCAAGGTGCATAATATCCAGAGCCATTTCAGTTCATACATGAGACAGAACATCCAACAAACACCTTTCCCAGTCCATAGCTGCAAAATGTTGTGAGAACAAAGCAAGTAACTAACAATTTCCTTTACTTCCAGGACACCTAAAGGCTGAAATCCTGTTGCTCAGCATAGTCAATTGCACTAGAGTGAATTGCATAGTAAACTGCACTCATTAAATGAGTGAAGATTTGCTGAGTCATCTCCTCTGTTAATGCATTTGGGTCTACTTTAGCTGTTCTACTACAGCGTAGTAAACTGCATCCTAGATTAAGCCCACTTGAATCAATGAAAGATGCAGAGGAGGTGACTCAGTAAATCCGCACTGATTCAAGAATCTACTCTGGTCTGATTTACTGCACTAAGCAACAAGATTTCAGCTGAAATCTTCAGCTGAAGGAGGCCAGGCTGTTGCTGTTTTTTCTTAATTATGCCTTTTGATATGTTGAATCAGACAAAACAGATAAGAGAATCTCTTAAAATTCAAATCAGCAATGTCTTTTTATTTTTTTAAAATTAGTTTTTGTGTTCTTCATGCCAACAGTATATTGGCATATATATTTATTGTTTTACTGTCGTTTCAGAATTTAAGTTTTATTTTAAGACATTTCCTAGTATTTTGGTGTTTTTGTAAATACTACTCATTTTATTTGTTCTTTTAAAAATTTCATTTCTTGTACTGTTATCATCATCATCTTTCTGCTCCACCCCTCCACTATCACATAGTGCTTGAGGTGGGTTTGTTACATCAGGGATTCTGAAGCCTGGACATCTCCTTAATAGCCCTTAATAAAATTTATAGACCTCTAGGGAAAAATCAGAAGCCCACGTTCATCACAGCTGGCAATTATACCACGAAAAGGTTAACTCCAGTATGAAATAAAACAATAATTGCCAATCATATCTAAATACATCTGAGTATCATGGTATAAATCTTCTCCCTGTTGCAGTAATTCCAGGCAACATAAGCTTGTCTAATTCTACACTACTTCTGTGTTCCATAAGCACAAAAATACTTCAAAGTTGTTGTGAAAATACAAAGATCTTACAGCTCCAAAAAAAAAACTGTAGGAGCAAATGCTTAAAAATATATGAAAACTAAACTTTAATGGTAGGCAAATACTTAAAGTCTCTGTAAATTCGGAGCGACTTAATCGCACACAACAACAACAATAGTATCCAGCCTCCTGCTTGCTCAGGATGATGATAAAACACAAGCGACTTCAGTGATACTGTGTACTTCATACCTCTTGAAATTTAAGTACGTTACTAGAGTTTTATGAAGGTGTATTGTAGTCAGGATTTAAACATTTTGCATAATGGTTTGATGCTCCTATAAATTATGATGGAATATTTTCACTGAAGAATGAAGAGAAGGCAGTACCATTTTTTCAGTCTTTCTTTGTCTAAACAACCGCCTTGAATAAGTGACTCTATGTGTAGTACTTAAGGCAGGGTGCAAATGCTTCTTTAGCTTTCCCCCCAACAAGATTAACTTGCAAACATGCTAGCATTTTGTCTTGTATTAATAGAAACAATAAGTTTACCTTACATAATCTGGATATTCTGGTTTCTCTCAGTGCTAGGTTTGAGATATATTTGTTTAAAGCAGAAAAGCATGGTTATAAACCTTTCTGATTTTGTTGGTGTTACTCACAGAAGCTGTCATCAGTCAAAATGACAAAAATCAAGGGTCTCGTTCATTTAATATCCCCATATGCTAATGTCAGTCAGATTCATTCTTACCCTATATCAAAAGTCAGTCAATCAGACAGACTCTCATTCTCTGACTAGAACCCTATAGGTTAATTACGCTGACATCCGTCCAGTAGCATAAACTGCATTGGCAAACTGGTCCTAATTAACAAGTGGTCACTTTTGCCTGCCATGCACTACTCATGATGTGTTAACCAGCAGCCGTTGGCCATGCCAGTTATGCAGTTGCTCTTAAGCTGACGTAAGTAATCAACAGTAAATCTGGACTCTCTCTGCCTCCCCTCTTTTTTTCCCTCCTCTTATTTCCTTATGTTTACACTAAACTGTTCAAAACTTTTTTCCTAATTTTCCTAATTTTTATAGATATTATATAAAAATAAGGTAAGCAGTTGTCAACATTTATTGTTGTGTAGCACTAAACACGTTCAGTACCTTCTACTTGGTTTGTCTGTAAAACAGCATTTTGTTGGTGGTTAGTTCTGGTTTGTTTGTAACTGGTCAAGTTCAGACCTTCTGGAGAACCCCACTGTAAAGCTGATGTCTGAGGGCTGCTTCATAAATTAAACATAGTATGCAGTGATGAAATTATGTGTATGAAATGTAAATTAATCTCTGTAAACTATTAGTATTTGCGCAGCATCCTATCTATCATAATGCTTGGGGATTTTGTGCCTTGAGCGTACCCATACTTGAGGTCCAAACTAAGCAAGTCTCAGGGAGTTTATAGATCCTGAGGTTTGTTTTTCTTTTCTCTGTGTGTATTCAGTTTGAAACGGCCATGGAAATGTGCGGCTTGCTAAATTAGAAGAATAATACTAAGGAACTGTGATTTAAAATAAAAAGAAAGAAGTACTTTGTCTGAATCCCCTCACTGCACCTTCTAAAAGGTTTTTATTTGCTTAGTAGGAAACATACAGGAGAAACCATGAGAAAAGGAGTCAAAACCTTCTCTCACACTACATCACCAGTCTTAGTCTGTTCCCTACCCTTCTGTGGCCTTGAACTCAGAAAAATAAAATCTCACCATCTTTAAAAAAATGATCCCTACACTGTCCAGCCTGGTTTATAAAATGGAGATAAACATTTGTGATGGAAATTATAATGCACAAAGTGGCTCTGAATATTTGCAGGAAAGGGCTTTTTGTTTGGAGTACAGTATATACTTATTAGGAATTGCATATATTTCTTTGTAACTATGTGGTTTTTTTTTTTTTTTTTTTTTTTTTTGCTGTTTCCAGATTTTTACTTCCCATGGACCAACAGTAATTATGCCAACTTGGTTCTGTTCCCGAGAGTGGTTTTGTCACTTGGGCAGATTTGATGAGGGAGGAAAGGTAAGTACTGTGAAGGAGAACCTAACCTTGAGTGTGCTGCATCACACAGATACCTGTAGAGTACAGATGGCATTTCGTAGCAAAAATGAAAACAAGAAAATATTGTTCCAGTTGCATATGGTTGTGGTAATGAGTCAGTCCATCTCAGAGTGCATTCCGGTAGTTAAGAGAGGTTAACAGCTGTGTCCAAGCTATCCCTAGTCCAGTACTGTTGCAGCTTATATACAGCCTGATGTAACTACACTAGTGCTTTCTTGTTTTTGCTAGGAAATGGCAGTTGTGTTTAGGAACTGTTACACATTATACTAAACTAAGCTGCAGTTAGAGTAGGGCCATTTGATTCAATGGGACTTATGGAAGGGTTGATTCCCCAAATCCTCATTGATTCAACGTGCATACTCTAAGCAATAGGGTTTTGTCATTGTTTGACTGACTGGCTGGCTGACTGTTTGATTTAGAAGCCATTCTACCGTGTGAGGTCTGAGTAGCTTTACAGCAGTCATCTCAGTAGTAATAGGTTCTGTCCCCTCGAGGCTCACAATACAAGGATTCATAGTCATTGTCAAACCTGTTCTCACCAATTTCATCTACTCTCCTTTTAAAGCTAGTGGCTTTAATTTTGTAAGTTTAACTTCTATTCTGTGTGAAAGTAGTAGGCAGAAGGGGCCACTGAAAGCAATAAATGACACGTGAACCCAGCCAAGTTGATGGAAGAGGCACCTCTCTCTCTCTCTCTCTCTCTCTCTCTCTCTCTCTCTCTCTCTCTCTCACACACACACACACACACACACCCTCACCTGTGTTTTTTCTTTCTCACACACACACACACACACACACTTGTACGATTGAATAGAATGGCTGCTGATGGTCACAGTTCTGGGAAACACAAAGCCCCAGCAAGAGTACTATTGTGAGCCTTGTTGCCTTGTTCCGATTTGGCCACTATGGCACATACCCTAGTTACTTTCCAGCTGGATTACTGTAACATGCTCTGTGTGAGGCTGCTGAAGGAAAGTGTCAGGAAACTTCAAAATGCAAATTACTGTAACATGCTCTGTGTGAGGCTGCCGAGAGAAAGTGTCAGGAAACTTCAAAATGCAGCAGCCAGAGTGCTGACTGGCTCTGGGTACAGGGATCACATAAACCCCTTGTTAACAGCAGTTCTGCTGGTTGCCAATCAGTTACCGGGCACAATTTAATGTGCTGGTTTTAACTTATAAAGCCCTAAATGGCCTGGGTCCAAACTTTCTTAAAGACTGTATCTCCCATTATGAGCTGGCTTGGGTGTTAAGATCACCAGGAGAGGCCTTTCTCTCAGTCCTGCCACCTTCACAAGTGCATCTGATGAGGACATGGGAGAGGACCTTTTCTATTGCTGCCTGATGAGGACATGGGAGAGGACCTTCTCTATTGCTGCTCCTTTGGAATTCCCTCCCACAGGAGTCCAGGCTGGACCCATCTTTGCTGTCCTTCCGCAAGCGGACAAAGACTTTTCTCTTATGGCAGGCCTTTAAGCGGACAAAGACTTTTCTCTTCAGGCAGGCCTTTCCTCAGTAACTACTTACTTGTGTGTGATTTTTCAATGGATTGTTATGTATTACTGCTTTGACTGGATGTTTAGTAGTACTTGATTTTTTCATATTTGTGTTTTCCATTTCTCAGTGGCATTTAAAAAATATTTGTATACTTATTTGATATCTGTCTTAATATTGACTTTTAATGATATAAGATGCCTCTTTATACTCATTGTTTTTAGCTTCAAATATTGTCTTTTAATGATGTTAATCACCGTTATATACTCATTGTTTTCAGCTTTAAATATTATTTTTCAATGTTGTAAACTGCCTTGGGTCCTTTTCAAGGAGAAACGTGGGGTGAAGATGGATGGATGGATGGATGGATGGATGGATGGATGGATGGATGGATGGATGGATGGATGGATGGATGCCTTTCAGGGGCTGATCAGACAGCTTCTATTCTAGAAATGTACAGTATGTCCTGAGATACAGCAAGGTAAAATTAATAATATTGGCCATTATTGTTCTAAAAACAGAATAGTGGCTGAGTTGGCAGTGCAGCAATGAGCTTGAAACAAGGCGCAAAGAAGAATGATTTGTGGAGTGACTCTAACTCAGCAGTAGAACACCTGTTTTTGTGCAGAAGATCCAAGATTCAATCTGAGTTGTTTCCTGGTACTGCTGGGGGGAAAATCTTGGTCAAAAACCTTGAGAGCCGCTGCCCATCAATGTTGGCAGAACTGCTCTGCACAGATCAACAGTTTGAGTATAATGCAACTTCCTATGTCCTTAAGACTAGGAAGAACATTACAAAAGAAGAGGAACCATAACTATAATAGGGACGGAACTGGCTTAATGTGCTATGTTAAGTGATTACCTCCATTCTCTCCTTTAGTATGTAGTGGAGTAACTTGTAGGTGTTCTGTTGCTGCCAGTAAATAGAGAAACAGACTGAAGTGTCTACATTCCAGTAATTCTGTGCACCAAATAGTTTCCATAGCAGCAACCTGGATTTCTCATTTGTGACTAAATCTGTACACCTGCTCTTCCAATGTTGGAATACAAGGCATACACTAGAGACATGAATGGAGGATCTTATTACATAATACACTTAGAATGCATAGTCAAAAGCTTTTCCACAGCGCTTTGATAGAATTTTCCCATTTTAAAAAAAGGAACTGTAATGGATTATGCTATACTGCATATAAGAAAGTATCCAAGCCACATACGTCCATTAGTCCCTTTGTTGTTTTTATTGAAATAGTTTTGTAGCACCAATGTGGGGGCAAATCAGTTTATTATGCAGAATCTTTCATGGGCTGCTCAAGCAGTTTCTGCTCTAAAAATGTTTATTCTGCGACAAAGTTGTTCATCTTTAAAGTGCCACAAGCTTCTTTGTTGTTTGTGTCCATAATTCAAAGCATACCTATAACAAATGGCCATTATATGTCTAGAAATAGTCAAATATATATATCAGTGGAAGATTTCTTCATGTCTCCAAGCCTTTGCAGAACATGTACTGTGGTAGTGGTAGGGACCTTTTGCTACTTTTCTTGTGAGAATTTTGCCAATTGAGGAATTGAACTTTACACACAGACATAAGGAAATAACAATGGTCACTGCGCAATATTTACATAGAGTATGTATTTATATAATTTTGACCCATTTCTAGTCCAGGGTTATTTGGGTCAATTCCAAAAGAGCCTGGTTTTGTTAAATCCCTTTGTAATGCAGTCTGTTGAGATCTCTATGCTTTTCTTTTCAAGACAAATTTTGTAAAACAAGTTTCTAGTACAGTAATTATACTTTAGATAGCCAGAATTATGCACCTCCTTTCTCTTACACACAACTGTCAGTTTTGCACTTGTTACCTCTTTGCTGCTGCTCACATGAGGGGAATCCACTAACACTTATGCAAGTGGAAATTCCTCTTATTTTCAACAGAGCGATTTCCAGTTTGCCCAATGGCAAGTTGGAGATCATCGGAGGAAATGTGGAATGCTCTGGGTATGGCTCTGTTACACTCCCTATTTATGACCTGGATTCTGCCCAAGGTTTACTGTATTGGGGAGAATGGACTTAAGGTTCTGAATAAGCTCTTCTTCCCTCCTCAAGTAGTTTTAAAAAACAGTGAATTGTGTGTAATAGGCAAAATAAATGCATGTTTGCATGATCTAGGTCACTGGTTCTTAACCTTGGGTTACTCAGGAGTTTTGGACTGCAACTCCCAGAAGCCTTCACTACCAGCTGTCCTGACTAGGGTTTCTGGGAGTTGCAGTTCAAAAGCATCCGAGTAACAAAGGTTAAGAACCAATGATCTAGGTGAATGGTAACATTTTGGTTCTTGGGCACACATTAGTTTTTCTTTTAATGCAAAATATGCTCAGCAGCCTTAAATGCTCAAGAGGCTATGTTAAATAAGATAGGACAGAATGAAGAGGTTTGTGTGTATAGTAATGGTATTTTCTAAAGTGTGTGCCATGAGAAATTAATGGAAACTTCTGTGTGCCAAAACCAAATTGTCTATAACTTCTCTGAATGATTCACAGTTCTTGCCTGGTCTTCAATCAGTCAGTCTCCACTAATACAATTGTGAGTGACACAGGGGACCAAAGGAACTTCCCACTGTCAGAGGAGGCATCCAGTTTAACCCAGTTTGAATCACCGTTCTAGTCTTGCCTCCTCTAAATCAAGACACACACAGAGATCATGGGATGGATTCATCTGATGATAAGAAAGATATAATTTTATACTTGGCTTGATCTTACCTGGAATACTTTATCTAGTTCTGGGCACCAGAGCTTAAGAAGGATATAGAGAAATTGAAACATGTCTAGAGGAGGGCAGGTACATTACCAGACCAAAGGTCTGGAAATGAACCATGCTGTGAAGCACAGTTGAGGGGAATGGAGTTATTTGGCCCAGAGAAGAGAAGAATGAGAGGTGTCACGAAAGCCATCTTCAAGTATTTGAAAAGCTATCATGTTAAAGTTGAAGCAAACTTGTTTTGTCCAGCTCCAGAGGGTAGGACTCAAAGTAATGAAACGAAATTTCAAGAGAAGCAATATTGATGAAATGTTGGGATGAACTTCCTAACAGGAAGAGCAGTTTGGCAATGAAAACAGACTGACTCGGGAGGCGGTGGAGTCTCCTTCAGTGGAGGTTTTTAAGTGGAGGCTGGGTATCCATATGTCAGGGTTACTATAGCAGGGATTTCCTTCTGCAGGGAGTTGAGCTCAAGGACCTTTGGGTTTCTTCCAGCTGCATAATTCTGTGATTGAATTCTGCGATTCTATGTACTGAAATCTCTGGCATTTACTTTTCTTTATCTAAAAGACTCTGAACGTTTAGGGCATCATTGTACGACATGCTGATTCCATCTTTAGCAGTCCAGCCTTACGAAGAAAAATAAATAATAATTCTTCATTGTGGCCTCTGTGAATGCACACATATAGGTAAAGTCCGCGCCTGCGCTGACGATCT